CACCTTGGAGTCTCAAATTTCTTTATAAAATATAATTAATGAAAATCTGGTTATATGTTGCGTGCTCTTTCAATGTTATGAGCTAACTGTGCTCATCCTATTTCACCTGCCATTTCGAGGTCTCAGACACAAAAGGTAGAAAGAGCAGCTTAAGTATCGACGGCCATGTTGAGATGGAATTTGGAACAGTCGCAGCGGGAAAATTCACTCCATCTGCTCCGCAGTTAGATCGATAGGGAGACTCATTTAAATTCATTAGGCAATTGTGGATGGCTCAGGCGGAAAAGCAGGAAATTCTCGGAGAACAGAAAGAATCCTCTGGAGGACGACTTCAAGAAAATGCGACTGCAGAATATATAAAAGAGTTTATTAGCAAAGAACTTGTGTGTTCAATATGCACTGAAATAATTATACACATCTCGTCACTGGATTGTGGCCACGTCTTCTGTCGGGTTTGCATAGAAAAATGGATGGTACTAAAGAAAGAGTGCCCGATCTGTCGAAAGTCCTGCTCCACAGCTCATCCGGTCACCGCAATGGATCGGACAGTCCAAATGCTGCATGAAGTGTTATTCACCACAGACGACAATGCGCGGCGAAATGAACTACTTTCTGAGCGGCTCTGTGAGATTAACAGTCCGACACAACTGCATGGACAGATTAATTTGATGATACCAAGCTATTCAGACCGTCTGAGCATTGAGGACCAGCCACGGTTTAACAACCAGTCAAACATGTCGAATAACTATTTGGACTCACCATCCGGGATGATGATATCGAGCACATTTGACTCGACTCCTTACACTATTAGCTCAGACGACGAGAACAATTCTATTTGGCCATATGTGGATGACGAAGTTAGCTCTAGCCTGACTAGTGAAGATACAAGTATGCATGTATTCACTTCAAGTCACTTTGCAGCATACAGTGATACCTCTTCTTCGTCCAGCTAAAAATAAACGTCTCCCCTACTACTTGGATAAAGAAGGATGGCAAATATACAAAGGACATCCAGCTGAAATAACTACGTGGAAAACAAACTGGAGAATGTAGCCAAAAGCCCTTTGAGCAAGGAATCGGCTACATGAAGACAAAGATGCAGCCTATTCGCAAGTCCCCACGGTTCTAATTCCTTGCATGCATCCATAATTGAAGAGAGTATGAATAAACCTGTACAATGACTATTTATAACTTGTTATTGCAGCAATTTATCGTTAACATTTTTTTTCGTTCTAAACCCATTTTATAATAAAATTGTTGACACTTTCAGTAACCAACACACTTCCACAATGATGTAAAGCACGAACTTAGCCAGGCTCTGCAATTGGTGCCTACTTTGAAAGAATAATGCACACAGGACTGCGGCATTTTCGCCAAAGGTGGTCATATCATTTAGCTCCGCAGCATGTGACCGAATAAGTCCTCTGAGTCAATGCTAACTGGCACAAACGGAAACAGGATCTGAAGCATTTCACCGTTCCTCCGAGTGGCCAAGATAACTCTATCGGGCGAAATGCAGTGGTTGATTAAGCCGGCTCCGAGATATCTAACGAAGCTGGCATGGGACTGTCTCAAACCCATTCAAAGGAAATGATAACCGAGTCCTGGACCGCTATCTTCAAAGTCAGTAGAGACGACCTGACATGGGCGAAATATCGAGTCCACAATGCCGGCTGTGGTTCACATTGGGGAGTAGAATCAACTGAGGCATAGATACACCTAACTCCGGGATCTGTGGGCACCATACTTGTTATTTGTCATCACTGTGTAGTCATATTCCTGTTTACGGGGCCAAGTTTGAACTAAATGAATCGCACCCGACGATGGAAGCTACATAATAAATTCAGAGCAATGTGCAACTTAGGAGATTTCCAGAACATTTACTAACAGCAGCTTAGTTGGAGGGATGCTCATATAAACCGAATAGGCGGAATTCACATAAAACCTTAGCTGAAAATAGCTTTGGCGTAACCTAGCTCCCAGAAATAGGTGAAAAACAGACATAACCACGATAACATTGAGGCACGACAGGATTGCAGTAGACGAGCCCTGAGGAGCGCATTACAAGAGCGAACGCGCCTGTTCATGTAGCCGGTTGTTGCAGAGGTCTGAGCAAAATTGATTGGTTGACTATTGACTTAGAGATGAGCACATTGGCCCCGTAGTCTTGACGTCGAATTACAAGGCAATAACTCGACGAATTTACATTCCTAACTAGAGTTCCCATTCTGGTTTCTATTTCACCAGCCCTAAAGATAAGTGAAGCGAATCGAGATTCTTAGGAGCCAAATTCAGAATATTTTCCGCCGGCTAAGTGTGGTGGAAAAAGGCAATTAAAACTAACAAATTCAGACGTAAGGTTTATTGTCTGTACGTGATAGCTCGTTCATATAATCCAGTTCCTGAGTTTCTCGACACAATCAAGCCGTAGATGCGAATTAATTTTTAAATCAATTGAATAAGCTAAATTGACATGTCCGTATTGAGAACACGAGGTCAGAGAAAAGCCTCTGAGGTGATACAGAGATTCGGAAATGAAAATCTTTCAAAGAATTTACGCACGAACAAGTAATTAATAACGTATACTCCGCCATAAGAGGCGTCTGAGGCAAAATAGATCAAAATACGCCTCAAACACGAGAATGGAATCGGACAACATGATCCTAATCCAGCGAGGGTGCCACCCAACAATGAGACCGCATCTATTAATAAATAATAAACAATTGACATTCATATACTTTTATACGCACCATCGGCGTTATCCAACCACATGAGTACATTAAGAGAAAATAAGTGGGAGAAAGTGTGAAGAGTTTACGCAAAAGGATAGAATGGTGGTTCAAAAGAGGATTTACTGGCGGTGATGTGAATGGCAGTCAAGCAGTAACAAGCAAAAAAGAACTCGGCACTAAAATGAGAACTCAACCTAGAAAGGCGAACGTAAATGAAAAAAGTAAGAGGAAATAAGAATCGACTCATTAC